ACAGTAGGCTGGAAAGGCTGAGTTGTGGGCTGAAAGCACAGGCAGAACCAAGCTGATCACGTCGTCCTGTCTGCGACGTTAAAGAATTATTGAGGAGTTACGGGGGATCTCCTTAAATGCCTCCTGATCAGCCACTGGTTCAGTAGTGACAGCCATAGCATAGGTCTAGGCTAGAGACCATAGTTGACAGGATCCCTGGCAGGATTCTGTAAGTCTTAGATTGAGTCTATAGGTTTGTCAGTCAGGTATCAGAGTCTACGCGGTGAGGGGTGGAATCATCTTGATTGTGCACCTATCACCATGGTTGAGACCCGTACTGGGCTAGAGACTAACCCCTATAGCAAGGAGCAACAAGAAAAGATGGCCGCCTTAGTCAGAGAGAACAAAGAGACAAAAGAGCGCGAGAAGCAGGCGAAGCTAAAGGCTATCGCAGATGAGCAGGCGGCAAAGATGAAGAGGTTGGAGGAGGAGATGAAGAGGGTACAACGGGAGGAGGAAGAAAGAAGGAAGGTTGTTGAAGCAGAAGCGGCAGCAGAAGAAGAGAAAGAGAGAATGAGAATTGAGAGTGGAGAAGGGAGCAGTGGTGGCACGATGAAGTGGGAGACAGACACTGAGCTGGAGAAGAAGATCAGCGAGTGGGTCGCTAATTTATCGTTGGGGGAAGACGAGGAGGCGGAGTCCTACGTGACTAAGGATGAGAAGGCTACGCTGGCCGCTGAGCTAGCATCCATGACAGACCCAATGAAACGAAGAGAGAGGGAAGACGAGCAAAAGTTAGCATGGAAGTTGAGAATGRAGAGGGAGAAGAAGAGGAGGAGAGAGGAAGTGAATAAGATGACCGCAGCAGTGGCAAGGGTGCAGGAGTGTAGAGCGGAGGTGCTGGCCCAGCCAGATGATAAGGCCAAGTGGGACAAGGTGCTGGGCTATCTAGAGGTGTTGAGCAAGGCCTGGATGGAGGAGCGCCAGGCAAGCTAGAGCCAGGATGTAGCGTTGAGTGTCATGCGGTCAGTGTTTAGAGATTTTGCGCGCGAGATCGTCACCCATATTGCGGGCGAAGTGAAGCAATTGAGAGATAATGTAGGGAAGTTTTGTGAGGGCGCCATTCAGGGTGCCAAAGCTAAAGCCGCTGTAGAGGGAGAGGCCAGACCCCGTAAGGACCCAGTGAAACTCAAGTTCCCAGATGCGTACGGGGGGAAGAAGGAAGAGAACTTTGACAACTGGGAAGCCAGTGTCAACAGTTATATTTACTTGCAGCATATCCTAACAAAGGAGCAAGTCCTCGTGGCCTTCCAGGCCCTGAAGGACGAAGCGGCTAGCTTCGCAAGGTCTCTCGCGCGTACAGCCGGTTGTGAAAACAACCTGGTTGCATATTCCAAAGTCACTCCTCTTTCCCAATTCCTCAAGCTCCCCAAGGAGCGTTTCGCTGACCCAACGCGAGGCATTAGAGCCTCTGATAAGCTCCAAACGATCCACTCCCGGCAGTGGAGGAGTGCCAAGGCACTCAAGGGTACCATGGACGACTTGGTAGCCGTCCCGGACCACGGGGTCACTGAGCCCCAGCTGGTCCAGTTGTTTTGTCGTGCCATTCCATAGGCCCTACGCGAGCATTTCTTTGACAAATCTCAGCAGGCCGGCATGACTTACGATGTATTGAGTAAAGAAGTCGTCCTGTATGAGTCGAAGTCTATGCGAGTTACCACTTTCTGGCATAAGGACCTGGAGAAGGGGAAAAAGTGGAAAGATCGTACCATCTCGGGCCAAGTCAAGGCCAAGGATCACTTGATCCTGACATTAGAGGAGGGTGGTACAGAAGAGGTCCCATATGATCAGATTGAGTGGGGCCTAGGGGAGGAGTACAGTTGTGTAGGGCAGAGGAGGTCTTACGCTGCTGTCGCGGCCGGAGGGAGGCCGCAAGGTAGAGGAGGAGGCCAGGGCCAAAGGGGCAAGGCCATGGGAGGCCGAGGACTGGGCGCACAGGGGGTTAGCGGACAGGGAAACCGCCAAGCGGGAGGTAGGGGTCAAGGTCCCCCGTTAAATCGCCAGGGTAACCGGTCCCCACAACGAGGAGGTGGAAGGGCACCTCAAGGAGGATGGCATCCAGGCTTGCCGCAGGGCAGGCCCTGGGAAGACTTTGGCTTGGACCGACATTATGGCAGGAACGCGTGAACATGGGTCAGTGCGTATTCTGTGGTGACCCGGCCCACGTTATCAAATTTTGTCCAAAGTATAGACAGGCCCGTTGGGCTGCCCAGCAGTCAAAAGGCAGCCGCCAGTAGGGGTCGCAACTGCCCCTACTTCAAGGCCACGTGAAGAAGTGAGCGCACACGAACAGGACACTCCCAACCCACATGAGCCTATGGCAGAGGTTGCAGGCCCGTGCCTAGATAGTTGTCCAGAGACCGCCTGTGTAAGCGTCTCTTTAGGCACGTCCCTCACAGGTGTGGCAGAAGAATTAAAGGAGAGGATGCCAGTCTGGGCCAAAATGAAGAAGGAGAGTAAAGGACAACTGATTTTGGTAGATGTGGAGGTGTTTAGGAGTAGGGTAGGGGCCGTTATAGACTCAGGGGCTACCCGTAGTTATATCAACCATAGGGCGCTGAAGAAGTTGAGGCTAGGACTAAAGGTCCAGAAGTTAATAGACCCTATAGTCAGTGTCATCGCAGACAACCGCACGATGCGCGTTGAGGACTATGTAGAGAGAGTCGAGGCGTACTTTCGCCTAGAGAAGGATGGGAAGGTGGAGAAAGTTCTCCATTCCCTGACTCTCCTCGTACAAGATGACCTTCCTTTTGATATAGTGTTGGGAATGGATTGGGGAGAGGCAGCAGGGGCCACACTCCAGTTGAGAGAGCATGAGTGTAGGCTCCCTAGTCCGTCAGGCGAGGCTAAGACTGCCCGCTTGTTCCATGTGTCTGGTGTAGACAACACCTTGG